AATCTGAATATAGATAATAAAAGAGAAACAAACAAACAAACAAAAAAAAAGCCCCCCACTCCCCCAAAGCTGAGAAGTATGTGCAGTGTTCCCACACAGGCTGCCCCAGCAAACACTCCTCTGATGGAGCCACCACTAACTCAGCCCCCAGCAAAAAGACGGAGTGCAGGTGCTGTCTGGCCGCCTCCCCCACGGGAACCCAGAGGGCCAGGGCCGCAAGGACAGAGGAACTAGCCAGTCAGCGTCCCACCGCTTGCAGCGACCCTGCGGGCACAGCAGATCAGGCTTGGTCTCGAGAGAGCTCGCTGCCTCGTCTTTCTCACAAGTGGCGGCAGGTGGGTTTGAACCTCAGGCAGTGCGGTATCCCACAGTGACACCAAGCCTCCTTCCTCCGACAAGTGTCCCCAGGTACTTGATTGCATTGTCATTTCAGAGGGGCTCAGGACCCCCGATCCCCAGAGGAGAGGTCACTCGGAGCGGTTGACACTCCTGCCCTGGTGTCCAGGGCCGGCCAGAAGTGACAAAGCAGCATCCTCCTGGGGCGGGGCAGGAGAGTGGGCAGATGGGTTCATGAGTGTTGGACTTGTCACCTTGTCACTTGTGCCACAGCTACAGCCAACACCAGGGACAGAGTGTCCCTCCCGGGTCAGGGCACACCTCGCAGAGCGCCCCACAGCTCCTCCCCCTTCCCCTCCCCACCTCAGAGCAGCAGCTCACAGTTTGTGCCCCCTGCTCTCTGCCCCCAAGAGGGCAGAGTCTCACAGCCTGCCCCCCACCCCCACTGCTCAACAGGACCCCCTTCAGGGGCTAGAATGTGAGTACAGGGATATGGGAGGTCCCTAGCCCTCCCTCATACACACACACACATGTGGATACACTGCGTTCCTGCCCCCCACCCCCACCTCGTGGACACAGTCCGCATTCAGTGCCTGGCTGCCCCCACCCCCCACTGGCAGACCAGCCTGCTGAGGGCAGGACGCCCCTTTTTGACACCAATTAGAGAAGGCTCCCAACTCCAGGTGAGGCCTGGCTGGCTCCTTCATGCCACCACCCTGCGAACTATGGCCACATGGCACCCCTCACCACCACCCAGCAGGTGTGCTCGGTGGCCAGCCTTGGCACCTTGGCACCTGGTCCGGTGGCCTTGAGCTCCAGGTCTGGGGTGGAGGCAGGTAGCTGCCACGGTCAACAGCTTCCAGCTGCCAATGGGCTGCGGGGCTGGGCACTACCCAGGATTGTGACAGCTGCGGGGTGGGGGGGAGTCCCCCGAGGCCACCCGAGGAGATCACCCGAAAACTCCCAGAGGCCCCCTCAGGCCGCCTGAAGCTGACGCGGGCTCACTGCGTTGCAGAAAGTGGGGTGTGATGGGAGGGCAGGTAAGTGGGCTATGTCTCTGACGTCCGAGGTCACGCCCAGTCCCTGAGAGAGGCGTGGCCAGTGCGCGGGGTTGCGTGGGGGAGGGGGGCGGGAGGGGGCAGGGCAACTGGGCGTTTTGCCCAGTGTCCGTCGTCCAGCGGCAGGGTCAGGCCTGGGGGAGCATGTGGAAGTAGGAGACCAGCATGGGGCAGGGGCAGTGACTAGGAGGCCTGGCAGGGGTCCAGGGAAGCTGGGCAGCAGAGAGGTGGACCCCCAGAGTGGGCTGGGCCATCCTCCCACTGGTCAGGCCCTCGCTGGGCAGCAGCTTGAATAGGTAGACCTTCCCCAGGACTGGGCAGTGTGTCCTTCCCCATGCCTGCCCAGCTGGGGCAGCTGTGCCCGGGCCCCACATGGGGATCCTGTGGCCACAGAGCCCTGCTGTTCTGTTGCCTCAAATACTGCTCATGTCCCAGAACAATGAGCCTAGTCAATAGTCTTGACTGGGGTTCTGTGAGAGGGAGGAGGGAGGGAGGGAGGGAGAGAGAGAGAGAGAGAGAAGCGGATTTACAAGAGGCTAACCAGAGGAGCATTCTTCTGCAGCAAGGCGTCCAATGGGAGCTCCCGTGGTCCCAAGCCCACTAGATGCTGATACTGAATCCCCCAACTGTCTCAGTCATGGGTCAGTACCTGTGGGCCCCCTTCCTAACCCTCATGACAGGTCACACGGAGCCAAGAAACACGGAAAACAGGCAGAGCACACGGAGGAAGAGTGGCATCGCCCATGATCTTGATGGCCACCGGCCATGGCTTAGCCATCTCCTGCGATGACCGAGAGAGCCGAAGGGCCCGTCCCACTCCAAGAAGGATTCACAGAGGCGGTCACGTTTCAAACGCTGGCCCGAGCGAGCGCTTGGGCACAGTCAGAGCGCAGTGAGCAAAGCGCCGACAGAAAACCAAAATGGCTGCAGTCTCGCACACAGCTACGCCCACCTCGGATGGCCTGGTCCCTGCAGCCCCTCAGCTGGGCAGCTTCATGCGACCTGCCTCCCCAAGGCCCAGCTGTGGTGCCCAGTGCCCCAGGACACCTGCTGGATGCCCCCAGGGCTCCCCCTCCTCTGTGTTGGGCTTCTCTCTCCAGCACTGGGGTCAGTACAGGTGGGACCCCAGCTACAAGTACTTTGAAAGGACCACAGGCACTTACTTGGCCGGGCTGCCACCCCCACCTGTGTAGGGAGCCTGGCATTGCCTTGATCCACTGGTGGGCATGAGGCACCAGGAGACCCCCAAGGCATGGGCACCCTGGCCTCAGGCACTCAGATATGGAGGCAGAGGAAATACACTGCCATAGAGATCAGGGATGGCACGTCTTCTGTGTGTGTGTGTGAGGATGGGAGTGAGTGTACAGGTGTGTTTGTGTGTACAGATGTGTGTGTGTGAGGTGTGAGGTTGTAGATGTGTGTGAGGGTATGAGTGTGTGTGTAAATGTTTGAGGGTATGTGTGTGTGAGGGTGTGAGAGCCTTTGAGGTGTGGGTGTGTGTGTGACTGTGTTGGTGATTGTGTGAGTGTGCATTCATGTCTAGGTGTGTGTCGTGTGTATATGTGGCTGTGCACACATGTATCAGCATGCGCGTGCATGGGTGGGCGGTGTGCATGTGTGTGTGCACCCAGGGCATGTGTGTTTTCGTAGGTGGGCTTTTCCATCAGCACACTCCTGCTCAGGGGCCATGCTTGCTGTGTATGGGGTCCTATCGGCACACAACCACGCCCACATCGCCGGTTCCCACCCCAGCTGCAGATTCTGACCATGGCCTGTGAGGAGGACTTTCAGCTGTGAACTGAGCAGGATGGATCTGGGCCGAGGGAGGAGTGGGCAGGGCTGGAGGGCCAGGGGAGGGCCAGCCACACTGTTTGTCACAGCCGGGGCCTGGATGCCCCACCTCCCCAGTCAGGGTTCAACATCCGGGTGGCTGGGCTGTGTCCCTATTGATAAAGGGTCAGGTAACAGCTAACAAGCAGCAGGAGGTGTGGGGGCAGCTGGCGTGCAGGCACCCCAGTGGACACCCTGAAGCTCGTGGGCGTGGGGCTGGCTGGGAAATGTTGCGGGCACTGGCTCTTGCCAGCGTGGCCCTGCAGCCCCGAGCAGCAGGGTCGGTGCGTACAATGGCCTCCCACCAGCTGCTGGTGCCACCCCCAGAGGCCCTGCGGAAGCCCCTGTCCGTCCCCAGGCGGCTCCTGCTGGGGCCGGGGCCCTCGAACCTGACCCCGCGAGTCGTGGCTGCGGGTGGCCAGCAGATGATCGGCCACATGCACCGGGAGATGTACCAGGTATCCCGAGGTCGGGAGGCGCCATCCGTGCACCCCTGGGCTGGGGCTGACGGCATGTTCCCCCCACCCCCACCCCAGATCATGGATGAGATCAAGCTGGGCATCCAATACGTGTTCCAGACCAAGAACCAGCTCACGTTGGCCATCAGCGGCTCGGGACACAGTGCCATGGAGGCTGCCGTGGTCAACACACTGGAGCCCGGGGACTCCTTCGTGGTGGGGGCCAATGGCATTTGGGGGCTCCGGGCCATGGAGATGGGGGAGCGAGTTGGTAAGGGGGCCTCCCTACAACAGGTACTCCCACACCTGCACGACCCCCCGGGGGGCGCTTCCCACGAGCCCGGTGGCACCTGGGCTCATGGGGAGGGGTCAGTGTTCTGTCCGTGGAGCAAAGCCTTCCTGAGGGGCTTACTGATGAAGCGGGGCCTGCCAAGCCCCCCACGGCCACTCTTGGCCCCCAGGTGGCCCAGGCGCCTGACCTAAGAAGCAGGGCCAGGCAGGGGCTGGAGTCAGCCCTGCAGCTCTGACTGTGCTCAGGGCAGCCTGGGCGAGCCCCAACATCCTACCTCATTCCTGCTTTGCTTCTCCCTCCTCGTTGGGGGCCATGGGGTTGGGAGTCAGGCTGGAGATGAGGGTCTGCTTCCCTGGAGTCCTGCTCCCGCCCTCACCAGCCACCCACCCTGTCACCGACCTGCGCTGGGCCGGGTACAGGTGCCACCGGGAGGCACAGACCAGGCCGGTCAAGCCCCTCTGTTGGGGGAAGCTTCGGACAGCGCACAGCCCTGTGAAAACAGCGCTGCTGCCACGCGTGTGCTGAGGCCTCGTGGGGCCTAGAGGGGACTCGTGAGAAGCCTGACCACCAACAGAACCCCCTTGCCCCCTCCTCTCTAACTGCCTGGTTCAGGGCGGGCAGTGTCCTGCCCTCTGTTCACCGGGGCCCTTGTGAAGAACAGCCACCGCAGTCAGTGGCGGTAGCTGCTGACCACCCTCTGCCCGCCCCCCCCCCCCCAGGAGCCCGCGTACACCCCCTGATCAAGGACCCTGGAGGCTACTACACGCTGCAGGAGGTGGAAGAGGTACGGGTGCTCAGGGGCTGGGGTTGGCCCTACACCATTGTCTGACCCTACATGAGTGTGAGACAGTGAACCCAAGGCAGAAGCCAAGGGCAGGGCCAGGGCTAGAGGCGGGAAGCCTTGCAGGGGTGAGGCCCCTGGACCCCATTGGTAGCCCGGTAATGGCCATAGTCCTGAGGACTGTTGGAGGCTGGGATCTGTGGACAAAAGTCCTTTTCTTGGGTAAAACCCATTAGCCAGGCTGACAGCTCCCCCTTCCAGCACACATAGGGGCTTCACTGTCCCTGGGGCTTGGCTAGCTGGCCCTGAACATCCCCCTGGCAGACTCCCCGGCCCCCACACACACAATTCACCCCTAAGGAGGCTGGCTTACTCTAGGCAGCCCTTCCAACAGACCCCAGAGCTACCCCTGCCCCCAGGTCCTGGCCCTAGACTCTACAGCGTGACCCTGGGGAAGCCAGCTTGTTCTGGGCAGCACCCCTACCCCCAGCCCCCACAGCCCGCCCCTCCCGTAGGCCCTGACCAAATACAAGCCAGTCCTGCTGTTCCTGACCCATGGGGAGTCCTCCAGTGGCCTGCTGCAGCCCCTGGACGGCTACGGGGAGCTCTGTCACCGGTAAGCGGCCACTGGGAGGGGCTAGAGCAGGGCCAGGCCTGGCACGTGGCGGGGGGTGGCAGCCCTGGGGTCTCCCCACTCCCCAACCTCCGTGGAGTCTGGGCGGTCCCTGGGCCAGGGCAGGGGCACGGCCCTCTACCTGCTGCCCTCAAGTCCCCAGTGGCTGGGACCCAGGGCATGTGTGTTTTCGTAGGTGGGCTTT